AGCGCCTGCCCCAGCCCCAGCCCCAGCCCCGCTCCTCCCTCATTGTGGGGACCTCAATATGCCTCCCCACTTCTCTTCCTTCCCCCTGCCCCCACCCGACTTACCAGCTGGACTCTGCTCTCCAAGCTGTCAGGCTGCAATATTGGCAATTGGATCAGTATCGGCCGATATGGTACATTAATAATCAGCCATTGGTGTCAGCCCAAAAAATCTTTATCAGTACACCCCTAATCAAGTGAAATATTTGCAGTACCGATATAGAAGAATAATGACACTGTACAAGGCAGTGGTGAGGCCTCATCTGGAAAACTAGACATACAGTTTTGGTGACCTACTTTCAAGATACTGAACCAGGTACATAAAAGAGCTATTAAGACTACAAGAGAAATGCAGAACCTATATAACAAGAGGAGATTGAAAGAACTTGGTTTGTTTAGCTTAGCATATGAATGCTGTGAAGAGAAATAATTTCTTTCTATAAATACTTCGGGGCATAAACAGCAAGGAGAGGTATTTAAACCTAAGAACAACATTAACATAAGAATAAATGTGTATGATCTGGCCATGACTAAGTTTAGGTTGAAAAGAGAAGAAAGTTTCTAACCATCAAGAGCAGAAAACACTGGAGCAACCTTCTTGTTGCAGTGGGGGGCACAACAAAGTCCAAGTTTTTAGATAAAACTTGTTAAGTTTATGAGATGTGGCTACTTTATGATAGAAAATATTGCACTTAATGAACCAGGAGATCCCTTCCTCTCCTGTTTCATATGTTCCTATTTAACAACTACAGCTGTTTTAATATATTACATTAAGTCAAACAATACAGAATTGTTTCGCTTAGTACTGCTAATTCCTTGTACTGTCAAAGTTGCCCAACGAAATTTAAACTTAAGGGCCTGTGCGTTAATTACCATGAGGTAAAAAGTATTTATCATGCATCAACTGGTTGTGAAAAGAGCCTGTGTGCAAACTCGAAACATGTGGTAGATGAAAGGTAATCCACAGCACACTGGCCTTCAGTGAATGAAGGAATAGACCTTTTGTCTATTGCTGAAGTAGGCAGAAGGAAAAACCATGGCACAGAAGAAAAGGAGAAAGGGAGAAGTGAGAGATAGAGGGGGGAGGGAGGGAAATGAAGCAGCATAACCCAACCATTACAAAAGCTGTCATTGATTTACTTGCTGATATTGTGTTAAGAAAGCTATCTTCACTATCCAAAATGTTAAAACATAATTCAGAAGAGAAATGTTAAGCTTTAAACTAGGCCTATATTTTAGAATGAAATATCCCACCAAATATTCAGGATATTTTGGTTTAACTGACATGTCATTTAGGGCAGGGGGGTGGAAAACTACAGCCTGTGGGCTACATTCAGCCTAGAGAACCTCAGGCTTTGGCAGCAGGAGGTGTCTTGTGCAGGCACTCTCCTCATGCCACCACAGGGGCAAAAGATGGCTGCAGGCAGTTTCCCTATGCTGCCAGGAAGAACAAAAGTGACAGTAGCAGGGTCCTAGCACCTGCCTTTGATCCAGGGTGGGTAATTCTGGTTTCCCACCCGTGAAATAGGGCATGGAATCAGTGTACTGCATTATGTTTCAGATCACTGGGCATGTCTACACTTGCTATTAATGCTATAAAGGCTTACTGCACAGTAAGCCTTCCCAGGAAACATGTCTGCACCTGCTTCCTGTTGTGGTGCAGGGCTGCTCCTACCCTGCTCTGGCCCCCTGCAGCAGCCAGGTGGATCTCCAAGCTCCTCTGGGGTGCTAGCCCAAGGGCTGTCAGGGAGCATGGGGACAGTCCCCCTGTGCATGGGGCCAGGAGAGCTCTGGCTGCAATGGTAGCAGTCTCTTTGCCCTGTACAAATTGGGAGGGGTCCTGATATATAGGGGAGACCTCTGCCACTACAGAGCTCTCCTGGCCTCCTGCACATGGGGATAAGCCCTATCCCACTTCTGAACAGCTCCTAGCCACCCACGGCTGGGTGGGGGTTTCCTTATGCAGCTGGGGGCTGGGTGGGAGCTGTCCCACTTGCGCAGTAAATGGTGTGCACATGTAGATGGTGATGTCTAATTGCACAGTAGGTTAGTCAACTGTGCAGTGGAGTGTCCCGTGTAGACACACCCACTTAGTACTAAGGAGAAACAGATTCTCACCTTCCGATAAAGAGGAAACTCAACATATATAAGATATTTATTCATGTTTATCTCCCTTGAAATATTTTTAGGAACTATTATTCTGGCAAAATACTGCATGTTGAATATAATGCTATCATATTTTCTTTTGTGTGCCTGTGCTTTTCTGTCCAAATCATTCCATTAAGAACAAATAAAATTATTATTCAAAAAGGCTTTCTATTCTGGGAGACATTTTAACATGAAATGTCATTTTCTTTTAATTAAAAAAGAGTTTTTAAAACCAATTATAATTTAAATGATAACAAACTGTTGACACTTTTCCTTGTAAGTCATTTTTTACATTTCTTGTTTAATTAAGTGATAGCTCCATCACAAAGACAGCAATGAGAAATAGATGTTTATTCTAAAGAGGTGGATATGGGTGTAGGAAGGGAAACTCCCATTTTATTAGAGAAAATCTGATCTTTATTATTAATATTTTATAAGTTATATGTATTACAGTACTTCCCAGAAGACTGAATCATGATCATAACCCCATAAAAACATATAAGATAATATCTGCCGCAAAATCTTGGAAGTAAGTACAATCTTTGTCTGGGTGAGAGTTCCCATTGCTATCAATGAGGCTATTCCCAGGCATCAAATTATATATGCACAGAAGTCTTAACAGGATCTAGCCTTTAATAAGAACATGCAACACAGGTGTTGAACACAATGAGATACATGACCAAACTGGAGGGAGAAATGGATAAGAGTAGAAGTACACAAGGGCAAACAGATGAGGTACATAATTTGCAGACTTATGAACCTGTAACAACTTACTTGCCCAATCAATGTCATGAGGCAGTTTACTATGGCACGTTAGGAAGTAAACTTAAAATAAAAATGGACAAAACAATGACTTAATGTGCATTCAGGAAGCTTAGACTTTTGAAAATTTCTAAAACCGCCACAGGTATTCTAGTTAATTATACAATTAAATGTACTTAAACCAATAACTGAAGAGATGGATGGATGGATTCTTTTAATTATTGCATCTACCTGAATTCTGCCTGGCACGATGTTGTCCGTGGTGGTAAAGATGAGCTGCTTGGTGTTAGATGTCTCAGGTGCTGCTAATATCACCTTTCCTGTCCCAGTTCCATCTGGACTCGCCAAGATAAACTGTTGCTTTGGAGACGCTGATGAATCCACAGCTGTCACTATCTGGATTTTCTGTCCTGTTTGCTGATCTGTCACAATCTGTAACAAATATTGAAGAATTCTATCAGGAATAATAGGAGATGGGACCAAAAGATTTTAAACGGTTGCATCTCAGATCTATATCCTATTTTACCTGATAATCTCCATGATTCCTCACTGCCTTGCAACTTGCTTAGTCATTTATATCTGTGGAAGATGAGCATAAATGATTATACAACGTGCAAGGCAGCGGAATCAGGCCTCCTAAATAAATAAATATATATACATACATATATATACATATACATATATATACATACACACACACATACACAGTGCTGCTGCAGAGAAAGATGATACTTAAGTTGTTTGTGGAATAGACAGCACTCATTATGGAAAAAGTTAAGATGTGTGGGGAAACAGCTGGATCATGATTATTATACCAAACTGGTCAGGAAGGAATCTCTATAATATGTGACCCAAACAGTGTAAAATGAATACCTGTGAAATACAATGACTAAGATTCTCATGTTCACCTAAATGAAAAATATGAACATACTGTACATGGCAATGAAGTCAGACATGTGACCAGTCCACACAAAGCAAAACTAGTAAGACAGTATCATAAATTACTCACTAAATGAATTAAAAATGATACAGTAAATATACCTTGGAAAACTCTATGGGTGCATCCACACATGCAAGCACGTGCGCTTGCAGTATCTCATATAGAAGCGGTGCAAATTTGAGCCAGGGCTTTTTACCTTGGTGCATGTGCTCGGACATGCACTTTGTTGTGGAGCAAATTGTGCCACCTGGGGCAAAATAACCCTGCCTGGCTCCTCACAGATTTGCAGCCAGGGGGAGCTAGAGCCCAAGGCCAGCACCTGTGCTGGCCCCAGCAGTATAAAAAGCTGCTCTGTCCTGGCCCTATCTCTACAAAAAGCTACCCTGGCAAGCAGCTCAGGGCTACTCGTTCTCAGGAGCTTCTGGGGCCCGGCCACTTGGTACGTGGGGACAGTACTCCTTGTGCCAAGTGCACTGCTGCAGCAGCATCCCAAATCCATTTTTAAAAATACCCCAAAATCCATGTTTTTCCACAATTAAAACAAAAAGACCACTCTGTACACACACAGACACAAACACACGCACACACACACATATATATATATATCTAGAGAGAGAGAGAGAGAGAGAACAATCAGCTGGGCAATGCTTTATTGGCATATTTACAATGTTAAAGCAACGTGGAAGCCTACCAGTGTCTCTATCATCATGATAAAATAAATTCTAAATACCTATATGTGTTGATGTGTACTTTTCGTTTTCTTTGCACATAATGGGTGTGTGATGGGGGGATGTGGTGTTTGCAGGAAGGGGGTGGGAAGGGGTGTGAGGGAAGGTGGGGGTGTGTGTGTGGAGGGATGTGGGTTGGTGTGTAGGTAGGTATAGGGCAATTGCTGGGGCAGACTGTGGGTGTGGGGGACCTTGTGGGGAGGCTGCCCAGGAGCGGTGGATCCCCTGGCCTCCACAGGGTGCAGCCCCTCCCCAGCACATGGAATGCCCCCTTCCACAGGGCCCCAGCTCCCCCCTGAAGGGCCACAGCCCCTATCCGCCACAGGGCCCCAGTCCCCCAGCCCAGGGTTCCAGGCACCCTGGAGGGACACAGCCCCCCTGTCCAGGGTCCCAGCAGGCCCCAGTGTGGCACGTGGGGACCGCATGCTGGGCCCAGCTGGGTCCTGGGGCCTCTCTGCTGGCTGGTCGGGCTGGGCCATTGCGGCAGGACCCGCCGCAGCATGTGGAGACTGTGTGCTGGGCCCAGCCATGTCCTGCTGTCCTTGGGGCCCCTCTGCCACCTAGCTGGGCTGGGCCTTTGATGACAGGACCTGGCATAGTGTGCGGAGACCAGGCCTGGGAAGCCACCACAGATGCCCACCCGCAGCGGCGCCGCTACTCCCAGTTCTGCAGGAGCAGCCCCAGGGCTGGCAGGACCCGGCGGGCGCGCAGTCCCCACACACCATGCTGGGTCCTGCTGCCAACAGCCTGGCCCGGCTGGGCAGCAGAGGGGCCCCAAGGGTGTCAGGAACCGGCTGGGCCCAGGACGTGGTCCCCACATGCTGCACTGAGTCCTGCCACCAAGGGCCCAGCCCGGCTGGGTGGCAGAGGGGACCCAGGGCCAGTAGGACCTGGCTGGGCATGGCACACGGTTCCTGCACACTGCACTGGGGCCTGCCTCTGCCCCGCTTTGCCTGCACAGGGGGTGGCACATGGCAGGGCCTGGGCCAGCCCTGTGTGGCTTGCTAGTCTGGCTTTGCACCGGTAGGTGGGTCACATGGCTCCGGGAGGCACGGGTCCTGTGCACACCTCTCGGAGCCCTGCAACCCACTCTGGTGCAAAGCTGGACTAACAAGCCGCACAGGATTGGGCTGGGTCCATATCCACCGCAGCCCTGGGGACATCCCCCCGCTACTCCCCGAACCCTCCCACATCCCCCTGCCACCTCTCACCCACCTACACCCTAAAAGGTTGAGCACCATTGATTTAGCTTATTATTGTTGCCTGTATAATTCAT